TTGGTGAAATCAATGTAAATGTGATAAAAAAAAATTAAAAGTATAATTTATATCGATATAAAATAATCCATTCCTTTAATATTTAGGATAAAATTAACAGGAAATAAATATTTGACGTTGCTCGCCTTACTTAGAGCTTATTTGGTTTCTTTTTATTTAAACTAAAAACTACTTTTAAGCTAAAACTAAAGTTAAGAAAAAAAAGAGCTTTAAGAATAAAGCTACAAGCTCTCTGATAATTATATAAGCTGTTCATTTTAAAAAAATACTCATTTTTTTTAAAAAAACTTATATAACTTAAAATAATTCTTCCTAAGAGTTTTCGGCTTTTTTTTATTATAAAAAAAATTTTATAAATTTTTTTATAAATATTTATTTGATTTAGCATCTACTTATAAGGAAAAGAGAAGTTAAAGATGATGCTACACCCACTTGCTTTGGTCTTACTATATATCCTCTTTAAAATGACCCACTAAGACCAAAGCTTTATGGATGAGCCAGTAAAATGGGTTTGATTCATGGGGTCAGCTAGGGTGGTAAAATGGGTTGGCTCATAACCCGCAAAAAATGAGCTGAGTTGGGTTGGCAAAAACGAGCTGCCAACCCAACCCGAGCCAGCTCGTGAAAACACGAGCCAACCCGCAGGTCAAACAAGCCAGCTCGCGGATTGAGTTTTTTTTTTATAAAAAAATATAAAATATAATATACAAAAATGGACAAAACCTACACATGCTCTCATCATTTTTCTTCATTCTCTAGTCCCTAATCTTCTCACATCCTTGCCATTTCTATATTGTTAGGATGACTCTGTTTGGTTCAAATATCTTACCCACTTGGTAGCAAGTGGTTTTAAATGTTTCTTGATGTTGATGCAAATTTGTTATGAAGAAAATTCGAAACTAAATTATTTTTCTTTTATTTCTCATTTTGTAACCCTTTGTTTAAGCTGATAGAAGCCACATAGCTGGTGCATTAATACTACATGATCATTTAAATAGGCTGAAAACGAGTCAACCCGCGAGCCAATTTTCGAGCCAACTCGCAAGCTATTTTTTCAAGCCAACCCACGAGCCATATTTTTTAGCCAACCCTAACCCGACTCGAGTCAGGTTGGGTTGGGTTTTCTGGCATTTTTTTTTTCGAGCCAACCCTAACCCGACTCGTTTTTTTCGGGTTAATTGCGGGTTGGTCCGGGCCGGGCTGGGTTGGCCCATTTTGCCAACCCTAGGGTCAGCCCATAGAACTTGCAAATCCGCTTAACATGGTCCGCATAAATGCAGGTCAAAGCGGGTTGAACTCGAGATAGGTGGGCCTATATAACTTTTTGTTTGGATCCTTTTTTTAAGTTAGAAGCTAATTATAAGCATAAGTTAGGTCAAACAGGTTTTGAGAAAAGCTCTTATAATGAAAAGCTCTTTTTCATAATGAAGAAAAAAGATAAAAGCTCCTATGAGGAGCTTTTTTTTAAGCTCTTATTTGCTTTTTTTTGAATTGAGTGCTTTTTTTTAAATGAAGAGCTATAAAGATAAATAGAGAGATAATTTTCTTGAAATATGTGTTTTTAAGTAACTTTTAAACTAAAAGTTTTATGTAATTACCAAACAGTTTTTAGCTTTTTTTTTTAAACTCTTCTTTTTAGCTTTAGCTTATAAGTAACTTCTAACTTAAAAATAAGAGGATGCAAATAGCATGCCTTTACTCATCTAGTTCTCTTTTTCCCCCAAAAAAATTCCCTCGGTCACACCCACACTAGTACACTACCGTGTGCACAACCATCGGCGGACCCATGTGGGGGCATATGTCCGCAAGTGCGGACATAAAGATTTGAGTTTTTTTTCCTTTCTTGTAGATTTTTATTTGTCTCTTGATTCAATATTTATATTAGGAGTAAATACCTTTTTAAGTCCTTAACAAAAAATACGGTCTCCATTTTAGTCCTTTATAAAAAAATTAGTCTTGAGGTTCCTAAGAAATTCAAAGTGGATCAATTTAGTTAAAATTGTGATCCCTCATAAATTCAAAAAAGACCCTCATTAGTCGCTCAAAAGGACTAAATTGTGTTCACTTTGAATTTCATAGGGACTAGATAACTAATTTTTTTTTGTAAGGAACTAAAGTGGGGACCGAATTTTTTGTTAGGGACCAAAAAGACTATTTACTCTTATATTAGTTAGCAACGTAGCAACGTACAGAGATGATTAAAACAACGTAGCAACGCAAATTGATTAGAGAGAAAACTTATTCTTCCTCCCATGTCACGTACCCATTCCCATGCTCTTTTCATCCTTTGTTTCCTTTTTCATTTTTCTAAAAAAAGAGGATTGATTGCGGGTCTGACATTCTCAAATAAGTTAATCTCTAAAGACGAGGCCTTCACTGTGATTTCGCTTGCCTTCTGTACAAGTAGTGTTGACTTTTTTATTCACCACTATAAAATAGAATGATGATGTATGGATGTACTAGAGTATATTCTAATATTTGTTTTGGAGGATTGAAAAAATTTAGGGGGGGAATGATTGGTCAAACTATTGCCTACAGTTTGTTATGGAAGCAACTAGATTATGAGCGAGTTCATAACCTTGTACATAAAGCGTTAATCTAAACTGTCTTTACAAAAAAAAAAATTTCGGGGGCGCTGCCCCTTGTTGGGTATGGCTCATACTTCGCATGCTGATGAGGGCCCTAATTATCGGGGTCAGCAGAAAGGCAACTGGGTTCCCATGAATAGCTGCTGATGAGGCTAGGTACTATTGCGGGCCTCTGTTTTATTGTAATTTTCTTAGCAGTTTGGACTTGGACCCATGAATAGCTGTTGTTAGGGTTTTCTAATCCTATTTATATTTTCCTTGTAAATTGAGTGACTTGTAACGAGTGGCGGTGAGGTGAATATAGTACAGACAAGCTGGACGTAGCCTAAATTGGGTGAACTAGGGTAAATCGTTGTGTCTATTCTCTCTCTCTTTTTTTGTTTTCGATTTGTGTGTTGTCGATTTTCAACACCCCCAAACCCCACCACTAATGTGCGGACATAAAAAAAATTTTGGATCCGCCACGTGCCTTTTCACCTACTATTATCCATATAACTTTTAAAGGCTTATATGGCTTTGCCTTGTTTCATTCTTTAATCAATTCTCCCAAAACAATTCAACTCTTTAGATGAGTTGCAGTTGATACTTGGACTGAAGAAATAATAGTGTTGCTTTCATCATATTATCAAGAGAAGCATTGAAATGATAGTATAAGTCAATATTAGCAGTTATGATACATTTTGTCTTACACTTTTTTCTTTAAACCTTTTTATTCCCAAGTGGAATTCAGTCTGATTAGTTTTTAACGAGATGTACATGACATACAAGATAGGTTCCAAGTGCTTAAAAGAAATGGTTGAGTTTCTCATCATCACAAAATACGAAATTTATCTAGGGAAAAAATAGCCCAAAATGACCCACGTTCACCTTTTTTTTTTATTTCGTGAGTTGGCGGGACGAGACGAGTTAAATTTTGCATCCCATTTTTAGAAACGGGGCAGGACATACTGGCTTGATTTAAGGCAGGTTGACAACATAGCGGAACGAGTTACCCACTTAGCCACTTCTGTTCGACATTAGAGTTTATCTTCTTGTTAAAGTGCATGCCTATCATAGATAGACAACAAACTGAATCGACCTAACTCACATTTTGGTCCAACCATACAATATTTTTGACATTAGATTAAATATAGAGTCGGATCTGGGCCTTGTATTCATTTCGAAGGATAAGGTAACACCAATCAGATCCTTAAAAAAAAATTTAAAAAATTCAATGGATCCTAATATGATATTACTAATATCATTCCTTGTACCGTATTAGTAATATCAAGCAAGTGATTCAGACTATAACCCATACTTAACTTTTCGTCCTGCAACAATTTATAAAAACCAAGTGCACGAAGATTCCTATTTATCCATCATGAGCTTATGATTTCAACAGGAATGCAAGCTTTTTCACGCTAAAAAAAACCGGTCCACCAGAGACTAGGGTTAAATCTTGAACCTTGCTTCCAATTAGCCTAGATGTAAATGCAAAACTGCACTGAAGATTCCTGTTTATTGATTTAATGGGACGTTTGGTCGAGGAGAATTTTTTTTTTTTATCCGAGAATCTCGATTTTCAAAAATATGATTTTTACATTCAGTTTACGATAATATCCGAAAATTAAAAATTTAAAAAAATTCAGTTTCCCGAAAATCTTGAAAAAAACCTAGTACCAAACGGCCCCTAAAGGTCTTATACACGCATCCCTTTAACTAGAGTCAACAAAAAATTCGGTTTAAGTACACCAAACATTTCAATTTTCAAGCGCAACGAAATTAATCCCTTCATCCATCTAAAAAACCTAGCAGCTCTAATCTCTGTTTGCACCTCAGTATTCTTTCCACGCTTTTTCCAACTACCTCCAAGCAGCCCAAGAGTTTCCAGCCCAACCCATCATTTCTGGCAACCTCAACTTCTGTTCTTAGGTCTTTGCTCTTCTTGCCTTTGTTTCCCATAATTTAGTCATTCCAAGCTTCTTCCTCTTTGGCATAGCTCTGCGATTTGTTCATAAGTAATGATGTGCACTTTCTTCTATCTTTTCCTTGATGCTCCTGCTGGACTATATTGTTAATGATTTGTAAATTATGCCTTGGATTGACCGTAATAGTGCGACTAAAGGCCAAACTATGAATTTTCATTATTAATGATGAATATAATTTTGGATAACTTTTTACTTTTAAACATTTATACGTGTAATATAAATTATATATCAGTCATCCCACTATCTTTCTGTAATAAAATTTTTGGGATCTGCCGCTTCAAGTCGTTACCTGGATTGAGAACTACATTATTATCATATTTGCCACAAGACAAATAGCTTTAGCATCTTGTAAACCTGATAATAATATTATTATTCCAGAGATCCATGAACAAAAAGTGACAGATATACACCCCTTTATATGCTTTCTGGAGATGATATTTGATAGAGGTTAGTTAGAACAAGGTGAAATTAAGTGCAAGTCCAAAGAAAAAGGAAGGGCATCAGTTTGCTCTCCACACAAACTGTAAACAACAAAACATAACCATATTAAACTCAAGCATGTAAGATAGGACACTCGAAAAATTTCAATGGCCATGCCAAACTACAACCTTTCTATATATTAATCAAGGTTGTCATCTTATTAATAAAATCTATGCAAGGGAGGAGGAAAAAAGGAAATCGTTCAGAGCAGAAATATACCATTGCCAGCCTGAACCTTTAGCAGAATGGTGAAAAAAATTGCAGGCAGCATTACAAAAACAAGAGACTTCATTCCACAACAGAAGCAATACAACCCTCGAAGCCAAAAAGATGCTACACATAACAGTATCCTCAATTCAACATCGTTGAACCTCTATTTGGGTAATTGATTCTGATACCTCAAACCAGTCTAGCTAACAATAGTATGTTCAATAAATATAAAACCCATCTTCTTCTTCTTCTTCTTGTTCTGTGTCCTCCTCATCCTCACTATTAATATAAAACACATCTTCTCCTTCTTCAGTGTCCTCTTCATCCTCACTATTGACCAACATATAATCATAATCTTGTTCCAATCCATCTTTCACAAAACCCTCTTCTCTTCCCCTAATTTTGGGAATCAAATCCGTCTCCGAAATCTCACCATTCTCAACCCCAATCCAAGGAACCCACAAATCACAATGCCGCCTCAACGCCCTGTCCCAATCCCCAACAACAACGGTCCCCAAATTCGCCTCCCTGGCCCTCCTTAACATATCCGAAAAATCCGAATCATCGGAAACCAAAAACAACCAATCAATCCCTCTACTCATAGAGTGTTGCATTTGCCTCTTAAGTGCCCAATCCGCAGCCTGAGGCTTATCCTCAACCGTTTTAACGAACACACCAGCGCGACGCAACTCCGAAGCAAGCCCATAACCAACCTTAGGCGTAACGAGAGACCTCGCAGCTTCGTTGTACTTGTGGTTCCCGCGAATGAACCGTTCCATGAACCGCTGTTTGGCTTTCCCCTTGAGGGAACGAGCCCGGTTCAGCTTCTTCTGGCGCTCGCGCTGGTGGAGTTGCTTGAAGTGCTTCTTCAGGTCCATGTTCGTCTTGCATTTGCGCCCGCACACGCCGCACGTGTAAGGCTCCGAAGGTGTCACCACGCGCTTGCGTTCCATGATGTCGAGCTGCTTCCGTTCGCGGCGTTCCTCCACCACCCACTGCGGGAGGTGGATGAACGCGTGGCGGTTCGCGTAGGCTGAGATTTCGACCACATCGCCGAACCGCTCCGCTACTTGTTTGAGGGCAACGGCGGCGTTGTAGGGTGGGCCCCGCGGGGGTTTGTTGTCGAGGTCCCAGAGAACTACCACTTTGTCGTGTTTGGGAGCGTAGATGCCTTGGTTGTTCTTGACCATGTCGATCTCGATGGAACATCGGAATCGTTGATGGAGGAGAAGGGGTTTCTTTGATGAAAGGGAATAACGGGTGGTGGTGGTGGTGGTGGTTCTGGTGTGAGAGTGAAAGTGGAGTGTGTGTATTGTTGGATTTGCATTGTGGAGCCACAGGGAATTCATGCTTTGTTCCCTCTCATCACTTCCTCGCTCCACAGGGGTCGGATAGATAAGGTTAAGGTCCCAGAAAAGTGAATGAGCTTCTTCGCCCTCACAAGAATCAGGATTGGATGAATTTTATTTTATTTTTCATTATTCCTGGGAAAAAAAAATTAGTCCTCAAAACATGGTTTAGTGTTTGGTTGAGGAGAAATTTTTTGAATACTAAGAAAATTGTGATTGATAAGAAAATGGTTGGAAAGTGAGTTTGATAGGAAAGCTTAAAAAAAGTTGTTTGGTACCGTAAAATATTAGTAGGAAAATTGAGTTAAATATGCTGAGGGTATGTTTGGTTGAAAATAAAAATTTGATGGGAAAATGGATGGAATTTACGAAAGTAACTTTTTTAAAAAAATTTGAACCATTACAACATATAAAAAGAGAGGTATTAATGTCATTGTATTCACTCACTTTTTCATTTCTCCAGATTTTGAGAAGAAATACCACGTCTGTAGAAGCATTCTTCACCGGTGAATTTATCCAATTTTAACATGATTTGTACTTAGATAGCAAAGTGTGTTTGATGGCTAAAAGTAATGGAATCCTTCAACCAAATGAGGAGAATGGAGATTCCTACATGCACTTAGATGGGAAAATTTTAAGAAGACTTGAACCAAACACTACCTAAATGAAAACATGTGATGTTGGGTTAGGCCCATTTGATGTTTTTCTTTTTTTTTAGGGCTACATTGATGCTTGTTCTTTTTAAGCTCTGTAATGTTGGGTGACAAAAGAAAAAAAGAAAAAATTTATGCACTTCAGATAAATTAGTTTGACAGAATGGAATTGAAAATTAATACATTTTTTCCAAAAAAAAATTTAATACATTTCGTTGATCTGAACTTGAAATGTTTAATGACAACAGAGTGCTAACATGTTGCAATGCTTCCTCTGTTTTACATGAGAGGAAGAGATTCTCCTAGTTTACATGAGAGGAAGAGATTCTCCTAACTAAGTGTGAAACATTATTAATGTAGTGTTTAGGTAGCATCTTACTAGGTGAAAATATTGAGTTCATGGATTATTGGTTCATTAAATCCAATTGGCATATTCAATGCAACTAATTGAATTGTACTTATATAATAAATAAATAAATTATAACTATTATAAATTGATTTTAAATTATATTATTGTTGGCACAAATAGTGTAATTATCCCTCGTTTATATTTTTGTAACCACCACACTAATGAAGTATCAACTCCCCATTAATGGTTGTATTTCTATATATACATGATGCTTGTATTGAAAAATGGTTAATCCTACCAGAATAAGAACTTTGTCCTACTTCTCTTTGTTTTCTTTCTTCTCTCTCACTTTTCACTTTATCTTGTAACATGTCTTTCTCTCATTTGTCTCCCTTCATTTCATAACACATTATCAGCACGAATAGCTCTCAATAAGAATCTGCAATAGTATAGTGTTCAAAATCATAGCCTTATACCAACAAAAAAAAACTCTCTTGCAACAAATTTTTTGAAAAGTTTCCACAAATGTAATTTTTTATCTATGAGATGGGTATTTCGTAGGTATTAATTGGTTTGTTGTTTTATCAATTACTAATTCTTCTTTTTCTACTGATTCTCCTTTTTTATTTTTGTTCATGCACCTGATATGCTATTGGGTATTTGATAACATATATCATCATTGATATAACCCTAGAAGAGATGATAAAAAGTCTTACATGGGTCAAAGCATGACAAAGGAAAGATGACTGAGAAAATGAATATGGCTAGTTAAAATAAAAGCAAGAATGGTGAATCTAACGCCATTGAAAATAAGCCTACAGCCATAACCACAACTAGGGGTGTAAATAGGCCAAGCTTTGACCTTTATGCCATAAGCCTACGTAAAATTATGTCGAGTCTATCTGGCTTATAAGCCTATTAAAGGCTTGGTTTAAAGGTCCGGTATGGCTATTTGTTAAAAAATAAAAAGCCTAACATGGCCTATGAGACCTTTTAAGCCTACCAACTTGCAAATTAAACTAAAATAAAAAAAATGAAATGTTTCATTCATTAAATAATATTTTCAGCAAGGGTCCAAATTATAAAAATTCTCAAACAGATTTTTTAAAAACACAAATTTTCAATTAATGTTCATGACAACAAAGATTGATTTTTTCATGGCAGCCATCACAATTTTCTAGTGAGCCTTCTTATCTTTGTTAAATCATACATCAAGAAGACTATGTTTATGAAGTTTTGATGATAACAAAGCAACAACAAGTACCAACATAGCTCAACATGAAAGCTCTCAATGAAAGGCATGGCAACAAGTTCTAAATGATATAAGAAGTCTATAACAAAGTGCAAATATGAAGAGAAGACTCAAATATGCAAAGTCAAAGCTCAAGTCAAAGATTTCAAGCTAAAAGGAGTACTAGAAGACTCAAACTATGAAGACAATGGATACTCAAGCACTTACTGGTTATATAGTACATTAAGAGTCTTAGAACTTATTATGGTTGAGTTTATTGAGTTTTTAACTTGGAAGTGCAAAAATAAACCAAAAACTCATATAGGTGACACATATTCACTTTGATCATGCATACAATATTCACACACATCAAGAGATGTTATGCAAGTCTGAAACATGATCATACATATATTAGAAGTCACTTAAAATCATTTAGAAGTCACTAGAAATCATTAAGATGCATTAAATTTTGAAAAAACTAGCTGCAAACTGAATTCTGCATAAAAGTAATCGAATACTTGATGAACAATATCCGAATACTTTCTGAGTTTGAAGAAGTATTTGAATACTCCCTGAAAAGTAATCGAATACTTTCTGTTATTAATGACTTAAACTCAAAGAAATTCAAATTTTTTGATGCCCAATGGATATAAACGACTAATAACTCATTGGTCACCTATAAATACATATTTTTGGGTTCTAAACACAAGAATTAACATTGAAACACTTAGAATCAAGAAATCTCATAATTGAACCCATGTTGGCTTGCTTTTGCATATCCTTGAGAAAAATCTCAATTACTCTCTCATCTCTGAATCTTTTTCAGTTCTTTCTTTTTTTGTTTGAACGTAAAGAGGTGACTCTACATCTATTTAGCAAGAGTGAATTGTTGTAATTGTTGGAAAGATAATTGGAGTGACCCTAAAGGCTTAGGTTAAGTGTGATCAAGGTGTGATTATAGACTTGTAAAATTCCAGTTGTAAAAAGGTTTCTTCAAGAACCCATTGGAAGCTTGATGATAGTGAAAACGATCAACCTCATACTGGACGTAGCTCTCAAGTGGTTTAGAAAGTGAACAGGATAAACCCCAGTGTGATTCTTCCTTATCCTATCTCTTTTGATTTCTATCAATTGAATTTCGTTTTGATTCTTGATTATGTCATATTGAATCTATTTTAAGGATTATAATCATTACTTTTATGTTTTAATTCGTTCTTGCATGAATTCTTGAAAAGAGTGACCATAAACATTGAAATTCTCTTTTTTTTTTCTTCAAAATTTGATCTGCTGCATATTCTCTTTGAATTGATGTTATAAGAATCATTTTAATTCTGTTTTGTATTGAAAAATAAGATTACATTCTGTTTGAATTGATTTTGGTTGATTTTCTTGTCAAAAACCTGATTATTGAATTGTTTGTTGAATTTCAAGTAACACAAAATTCACCCCCTCTCTTGTGTGATTGTTTAGCCATCTTTTCTTTTCAATCTTCCTCCTACTTTGATACACTTTAACTTTTTGCAACTATGAAACATCATCTTCCTAAAAAATAAAATTATGTTCATTAATTAGTTTTTAATTATGAAATTAAGTTCAAAGCTTACTATTAAAAGGATAGTTAGACGTAATGGGTCAAATATACCAATTAAGCAATGAGGTTCAGGTATTTTTCAACCATGTTCAACAAAAACTATAGCACAAAGGAAAAATAAATAAACATAGCATATTTCAAAGATAACTACATTATAAAATCAATGATAGGATATAATATGTAATTCATTGGTTAAAGGATAAAGTATGTTGGACAAAACCCATTTGGAAAATTTAGTCATTGTAAATCCAACAAGTTATCCCACCATTATTGGCTATGTCCATTAGAAAACAGCTATTCGAGCTACATAATCTATTAGAAAATAATTAAAACTGCATATTATTTTCATTAGAACATCAAAGGCCTTAGGCCTATCTATCACATAACTAAGCAAAATTAATCAACCACAATATAACAGCAAGTAGCAACGAACAAGATTGATATCAAGAAACTGAATTAATTTAAGTTAAGTTTTAAGTATATAGCAATGGTCCAAATGTATGCATTTCCCACTATCTATTCGAACCTGCAAGTAGAAAATCAGAAAATCAAGTTAGTTAGTTATGCATTTCCCTATTTTTACATTATAAAATTGCAATATATACACATTTTCAAATGTGCTGTTAAAGAAGCAATTTATACCTTTTGTTTTTTTCTTCAAACCATACTTGTTTCATAGCCAATCTCCAACACAAACTAATGCTTGAATGGTCTCTTCGGCTAAACTAGTATGATAAGCATCAATTACTCTTCCACCAACACTAAATGTAGACTCAGATGCTCCAGTAGAAATTGGAATAGCTAGTATATGTCTTGTCATCTTTGTTAAAATTCTATAGTTCAAGTTGTTTGTCTTCCACCATTCCAAGGCATTAAAGCAAATCTGAAATTTTCATCACATATAAAAACCTCTTCTTCAAGATAACTTTTTAACTATAATTTTACTGAGGCAACAATTTCCTTTTCGCGCATAATGCTTATAATTTTAGAAAATCCAGATAGAGGTCCTCAAGGTGGGAGAGTGAAAGTGAAGGCTGATTGGTTCACACTAGTTTCTAGCTCACTATAAGGGACTGACTCTTGCAAACCTATAACACAATACTCATTGCACAAATCTTCTAAAGCTTGCTTCACTTTTCGATAATTTTTGTTGCCTCAACTTCTAATTTGTATATGATTGGAAAGCACATATTTACCACATGCGATTTACTCCATGGGTCTAGGACACTAGCAATGGCCATCAATAGATTGC